TCTCCGCCGCAGCCCCCCCCCCTACCTGGTTCTGGGGGCGCCAAGAGCTGGAGGGTGGGGATCAGAGCCCCAGGGCCGCCCCGTCTCCAGCGGGTGGCAGAGCCGGAGCCGGCGGTGTCGGCCGCCTCGCGCCTCTCTCGCTCCCCGCCGCGTCCCCGCCCGCCGGCTCGTCCGCCCGCCCGCCCCGCCGCGGTGCCGCTCTGTGGAGGATGCTCTGCGAGTCAGGGCGGCTGCTCCCGCCGCCGCATCCCTGCAACACCGACTGACGGCAGCATCAGCACCAGGGCCCGCCCCCCAGACACGCGCATTGGGCCACGCTGCGCTAACGGACGAGCGGCGCGGCCAATGCGAAGGCGCGGAGGCCGCCAGTCCCTCTGCTCCACAGGCCCACCTCCCTTCCCTGCCAGGGACCCAGGCGTCCCGGCCCCAGGGCGTCCGAGCCCTTCCCCGCCTCTCCCGGTGCTTAGCCTTGGCGCCCAGACTCCCAACCAGGCAGACCCACAACCCAGCCCCAGTGTCTTTTCCTGGAATCCAGGCGCCCTAGCCTCTGTCCTATTGGGTCGGGCCCTCGAGTCCCGCACCCCTCGGCCGGCTGGTCGATGTAGCAGCGCCCAGGACTGGAACGTGCCCAAGAGAGACTTGCGGGCCCCGACCGGGGGGCCCCCGAGAAAGCAGGACCAGTGAGGGGCCCGGGCCGCAACGCCCTCTACTGGCTACGCCCGGGGCGGGCCCCGGCCGCCGGGAGCCTAGGGAAGGGGGCCTGCCCGAAGCCGCTAGGGGCTTTTTCCAGCCCTTCGTACGGCCTCCGCTTCCCACCGCCCGAGGGCGCCCTGGCTTCCCCTAGAGCTGAGGCGTGAGGGTCTTTGCGGGGAGGAGGAAGCAGGCAGTGGGGGAGGGAAAGGCAGAGATGGAGGCGGGGTAGACCTAAGGGCTTGGGGTTTCCCAGCCCTGCCTGATGGGAATCCGGGTTTGCAGCCTGGTCCCCAGTCCCGCCAGGAACTCTGCACTGGGGAAGGAGCAGGTTCGGGGGCAGGGGTGAGGCCGCACTTTGCCTGGATCACCGAAGGAAGGCTGGCAGCAGCCCAGTTCTCTGTTCTTACCCCCCCCCTCACCCCCCAACCGGGAGCTTCAGAGCGAGCGCGGGCGCTGGGTCGAGGCCTTCCCTGTGAGGGTGTCCGCATCACTGTGCGTGTGTACGAGTGTGGGAGGAAGGGGACACCCCTTCATTCACTCAGCCAATCAAAGGTGGACCCGGCACCTGGTGCGTGTACCACAAAGTTGGGCACTGGGCTTCTGAATGAGGCTGTGTGTGTGTGTATGTGTGTGTGTGTACCAGACCATTCTGCCACCTCACCCCAAAACCCTGATCTCTGTTGCAGGGTCTGTGATTTGCACAGCCAGTGGTAGGTGGGTGCTTCTTTCGCCAGAGGCAACATACAAGAACACACATTCAACCACCAGTGCGTGCATGGGCACCCAGAGGCACACTCACAGCCACGCACACCTATCCACGTGCACACAGGCATTCCCAAAGAGACACACGGGGGCAGCTGCAGAAATGCCCCACCCAGGTAAGATACCCAGAGGAAGCACATGTTTGTCCAAGAACATACACATACACATACAAACTTGTGCACACAGGTACCTCCACATGGGAGGCAAGCGCACCCCCAGGGGAACAGGTGCACACAGAGGACTTGCTTCCAGGCTCATTCTCCCCCCGGGAAGCACTTTGCACAGAGTGGCCATTTACTGAGTAGATGAGCGAGGACACCCACCCACCAGTGGTCTTCCTCTCCAGACTGTGTGGAGGACGAGGAGACCCGGACTGCAGGGGGTGTTTCCTAGGGATCGGGAAGAGATCCCTGAGCCACGTCCCAGACTGGAGGACCAGTCTGACCTTGGAAAGACCCTCAGGCTGGCCCCACCAAGGCCACTAGAGGAGCCAGAAAATGGGAAGTGCTGAGTCAGGGCCTGTAGATGTGAATTCGCCTTTCTGACCCCACAGCCCACTGCCCCACCCATCCCCCTCTGCTTCTCTCCCTGCAGCCCCCCCCCCCATGC